GTATACATTTCGTATACGTTAGTTTTTTAAAAAAATGTTCAAAAATGAATTTCTTATTAAATATACGGAATTTGTATACAGAATCTATAGAAACGTACATAAAATGTATACAAAACGTATCCATTCCATATACAGATTTCTTATAGGGATATATAGTACATATGTTGCTAAACTACTAATAAATGATAATAAAAATTTTTGTAATAAAATAAAGTAAGCTGGTGTTTTTTGAAGCATTCATTTTAAGATAATCAGAAAGTACTAAACCCACAAAAAAGAACCGTGAGTAAGGTTCTATTGTCAGACCACATATAGCTATAAAGATTTTGAGCGCAAAGGGTATTTATAATATTATTTAATGAAGTGTTAGTTGGATAACGCAAGACTCAGAAAATAAAATTTTTATAGCCTTACACTGATCATTTATTTAAAAAAATGTTTCACAACATTCTTAATAGAAAATGTTGCAAAACATTTTTTATTTGTTAATTTAATTTAAAAAAACATTTTGCAACGTTTTTTTTTTGATAATTTAATAAAAACGTTGCAAAACGTTTTTAAAACTGAACCGATAATAAATCGGTAAATCAGTTCGGTTTTCGGTAATTACTGCGGTAACAGTATTTATGATTACTAAAACCGATCAGTTTTTGTAATTAGCAATACCGTTATTGATCAATTCAGTTCAGTTTCAGTTTTGGCAAAAACTGTACCGAACTAAACTAATCAGAACTCTAGGTTTTCATAACCTCGTTTGAGGACATTCCATTTTGTAGAGCATTGCCTGGGTGTCACTGCAAATCTGGTTGCAGTGAACACCCTATTTGCTATTATTGTCCATGCATTTACATGGTGACGGTTTGCAATTCTTTCGAATTGCTGATGCAAATTTCTTCGCTCTGCGATTAATTGCCTCGCAGCATTAATCGTTCATTGGAATGCTGGTGTAGCGGTGAAACAAAAGGTACTAATGCTGCCATTTTTTATTTTTATGATTTTTTCGTAACTTGAAAATTAAATATAATTTGAAAATTAAAATACAATTTGGTTTTGAATTGCGAAAAAAAAATCCTATATACTTCAAATTTCATAATATTTATACTAATTTTAAAATTTATTATAATGTTTAAAACATGAACTGATGAACATAATAACATTTTACATAATTAAAGTATTTATAACAAAATAAACACAGTTTTGATTCTAATGTAATAAATTTAATTAACGCAGTTCTAAATTTTTTTTTGTAACGCAGTTCTTAAAATTTATTGATTTAATGTAATAAATTTAATTAACAAAATCCTTAAAACTTATTGATTCTAATAAAATATGCTTATCCTTATTCCTTAATTAAATTGCAATGTTATAAAATATAATATAAAATTACAATTGCCTGCATAATTATATGTTAACTGCAAATATTTTGCCCTGCATAATTACATCATTTATTTCCTAAATAGTATCATTATTTAAATCACATGATATTAGAATTAATTCTCATTGGATTAACTATTGTAATTATTTCTCATATGGGCCAATTTGACTCCTCCTCAATTTTGTTACACAGATCAACAATGTTATTATTGCATGTACTATACGATATTTATTCAGTAATCATTGTACAGTAGTTTTTTGCGTCCTGATGGAAAACTCGTTGTCTATTTGCTGTAAGCTTCGTTTTAAAGCTTTTACAACTTATCAAAAATTTTTCGTTCACGAAAGAAATAAACATTCGCACAATAAAATAATCTATTCTCTTCCTCGTCTTACTTCGAAACAAATATCTCAATACATTAACTCCTTTATAGTTCTTATTAAAAAAAACTAGGTTTTTCTCAATATGCCATTGGGAAAAAATGCTTTTCAATCGAAACATTTCCAGAAAACATATTTGTATATCTATTTAAAGATGAAGAAAAGTTCAAATACAGTTCTGTTAAACATAAATATCAATGTTATTTTGGGGTTAACAGGAGAAAACAGACTTAAGCAAATACTTCACTATGATCAGTAGAGTTTCTGACAAAATCCTTTAACTAATACTAAAGGTTATGTTTTACTTGAAGATTATGAAAATACGTATCAAGTTAAATTTATATGGAGCCAGACGGTATTATTAGAAAATAATAGAAAGTTCACATTAGAAAGAATGATATGTAATTTTATTACGAACTCTGGAGAATTTCAAGAAAAGTAATGAGTTTATTATTTTTTTTTAAAAAATTTACATTTATTTATAATTTTTTTATTTAGTAACATAAACCAAACACCTATACCAAATTCACAATTTTCAATATTTCAAGAAGATACATCATCTTTATCCAACAATTTAAAACAGCCTGTTAAGAAGAAATTCCGTTACATTTTACNAATATTTCAAGAAGATACATCATCTTTATCCAACAATTTAAAACAGCCTGTTAAGAAGAAATTCCGTTACATTTTACCTTGGTCACTTCAAGATATGAATCAGAGTAAGTAAATTCCACTTTTAGTCTTTGTTTTCTTTATCCCCTGCATCAATATGTCGCATCAGAATTTCTTGCAGCGTATTATTTATTAAATAATATAACTGACGATTTTCAAACTCCATAATATCATTACTACAGGTTTTCCTCTAGTTCCGCCACCCATAGTTGTTCCACAAAAAAATAGTCTAACCTAAAATTTATAGATAAAAATAGAGATAACGTAATTAGTCAAACAAAATGGTTTAAAAAAAAAATAAAAGTGATATACCTGATTATGGTTTTTTTTTCAATGCTTGAAGTAGAAAAAACCCGCAATCACATATTTTTTTCCTTTAAATTTCACAAAAATTCTGGAATGTGTTAGGAAAAAGTATGCATATAAGAGGTAACATCCTCTTTTCTATATAAACCCAATATTTGTGATGCTGAGTTCATTTGCCCCTGACTTGGCTGACAAAACAATTTAATCCATTGCTTTGCTTTATTTTCGAAATTATCAATTTCTGAATATGTTAGATTAGGACTTCTCAAAACTAAGTATAAATCATAAAAATCACACTATAGTTTTTGAATTTTTTCACTGCGTTTTCCTGAAATAAAATTAACAATAGGAAAATATTGCAAAACCTTTTTCTTGTTAGGCCCCATTAATGAAGTCCAGTTCCACTTGCCACTATTTGATCTTGATTTAAAAAATTCAAAATGAACTTTAATTGACTTCATGGTTTGTTCTATTTGATTTTTAATTTCTCGTTCAAATTCCTTTTTTTTGAATAAATCATTAAAAAACATTCCATTAACACATCTGAAATACGTAATAATAGATGTAATTCGTCTGAAATGTAATTTTCTTGCTTAATAGCAGGAAATAAAGGTGGTTTTTTTTGACCTATTAATTTAAAATAATGTTTATAATTAATTTAACATAAATTATTTTTAATAAGTTTACACTTACACTTTATATTTTTATTAATTGGCCAACATAAATCTACATTTCAATGATTACTTCATCAGGAAATTATATAGTGCGAAAAGTTGCGCAAGTTTACACATCATAATATTTCGTAAGCTTCCAGACCCTCCGCAAGTTTGCGTAAGCGTAATATTTTGTAACTTTTTAAAATATTTCTAAATATTACTTTATGCAATGCTTCGTAATTTTACGATTTGTAATATTCCGTAATTTTACTGCGTAATACTTCGCAACTTTTTAAAATATTTCGAAATTCTATGATGCGTAATGTTCCATAATTTGACGATTCGTAATATTCTGTGATTTTACACAACTTAATATTTCGTAATATTTCAAAATATTTCGATAAATAATACTTCATTTTCTGTACTATAAGTTTATATAATGTATGTTTTATTAGATATAATCATAAAAAATTACAAGTATTTATTAATATATACAGAATACATAAAAGTAAAAAAAAGAAAGAGTAGAGTAACAATATTATTAGACGTAAAAAGAAGAGAAACAGCTATAGTAACGTTAATATTAGATATAAAGATAAAAGAAATATTGTTATTATTGTTAGTATTAAGGTAAAAAGAGTTAAAGAAACAGTAAAAGGAGTAAAAGAAACATGG